AGGAGGCCATAAGGATGATCCAGGGGCTGGACCTCACAGCTGCCTTCCAGTACCTGAAGGGAACCTACAGGAAGACTGGGGAGGGACTTTTTACAAGAGTGTCCACTGATAGGACAAGGGGAAATGGGTTTAGGTTGAAGGAGAATAGATTTAGATTAGACCTTAGGAAGAAATTCTTCAGTCCGAGGGCGGCAAGACTTTGGAATAAATTGCCCAGAGATGTTGTGGCTGCCCCCTCCCTGGAGGGGTTCAAGGCCAGGGTGGACGGAGCCTTGAGTAGCCCGATCTAGTTGAGCGGCGTCCCTGCCCATGACAGGGAGGTTGGACTAGATGATCTCTAAGGTCCCTTCCAGCCTAGGCCATTCTGTGACTCTATGAAAATGATCTGTTCTCCACATGAAGCTTTCAGATCATGATCAGTCATTTCTTATTTTTCTCCTCAGAAGATCTTATATCCTTCACCTGCCACTGTAAAATACAGAATTCATTTTACAAACCTGGCATCACTCTTGTAGATCCTCTGGAAACTTTTCCCACGTTCTCCTACATAAAAAGAAACCCAAAACACCACAAACCACTGTAGCTACAAGATTTAGTTAAGAAGGTATTAGTGCCATTAAGTATGACACCATGTTATCTTCATAGCAGAGTATCAGGCAGAAATAAAGATAATATTAGGATAACTATCACAATATCCAGCTGACAGTTACCTTACTCTATCTAAACTTCTTGCCAACACTTTGTTGAGTTTCACATTCTGTCTGTACATTTTAAACTCTAACAGAAATGTAACTGAGGCAACTAAGACACTTGAGGAAGAAAAATAAAAAATATAGGTGAAAGAACACATCATAGACCTTTGCTGCTCAAAATCTGGCATGCAAAATGAGGAATGTGCAAATCAACAAGTTTTTAATAACAATACCATGTTTCTCTGGAAGCACTGCTAAAAAAGGCTTGTGTCTCTTTAATGAATTAAAAAGACATTACTAAGTTAAATAATCACAGTAATTTAAAGAATCACAACGTGATATGCCAAACATGCTGCGACAGAGTGGAACATTTCTGCACACAATCAAATCCATTCAGCGTGGAAGTTAAGCCTTTCTCTGCAGTATTTTGAGGTAAGCACACTGACTTGCCCAAACTCTCTGCAGCAATGCTTTTCCCACAGCTGTGCTGCTCAGGGCAGAGACTTAACACACGTGCACGGAGCTTGCCAGTGCTGCACATTCGACTACAGATCACCTACGGGGTGGTGCCTCACCCACAGGGCACGACACTGGGTGTTCCCTCTCTGTGTGTGGGTGTGGTGGGAAAAGGGGGAGAGAGAAGGCTGGAGTTCTCCTGAGAAGTTACAGAAAAAGAAGGAGATGATTGAAGAGGAACGCTGCTCCGAAGTGAGAGCAACCACCACAAAGGCAGGCAAAAGGAGCCCCATGGGATTCTAAGCAATCTTCAGTTTACTGGAGAGAGGGAAGATGACTTGAGGATTGGGCAATTCAGGTTTTTTATATGTGAGGAAGCAAGACTGTGAATACCAGAAATTGAAATATGTTGGGAACTGGTTACTAAACTTTGTTCTGTTTACCATTTATCCACCAGGAGCAGCCGTTCTCACGTGAAAACATTTTAGGTGAATGTTTCTCACCAACTTTGCTCAGAGAGACCATTACATGCTAAATCCTGATACCTCCCATTTACTGATCTGACATGCACATTTGTCCTCTAATGTACAATAATATTTAAAAGCAAATGGATCTTCTTGGGGAAGGCGAGAGAGAACAACTGTGACTGAAAATGCCTGTAGCCAGAATTTAACAGGCAGCTGGATCAAACAAGTGGCACTAAAAAAGAGTACAAGAGAAAAGCACACAGTCTTTTGCAATTCATATTTTTGTTTATTGTATCTGAAAAGAATCAAAAGTAGACAACGAGATAAAAGCAGCACTACACCAAGCTGGGAGACTGGCACCTGTTTTCAAATCACTCCCTTTGAAAGAGACACTGAGTCAGTCCTATCACCATCCAAATAAAGGAAGATCCATTCTAGTCGACAGGAAGAGGCAGGAAATCCCTGCCTGGCATTCAGCTACCCATGTACATAGTCCGCTGGGACTCAGCAGAACTCAGCAGGCAAAGACTGCACGGCCACTTGCCTCCCTGGTAAAAATCACGATGTGTGTAAATAAATTCTAGGGCCATGCCGAAGGCCAACTGCTAGCTGGGGCAGAGAAGAGAGGAGGTACAGCGGCAAGAGTGAGGCTGGTGAGGAGGTGAAGTACTGGCATCTAACAGTGAGAGGGAGGTGAAGTGCTGGCATCTGACAGCAGCATCCTCTTAACCCCTCTCCGTGCTTAGCAGGGGACCGGAGAGACAGAGGCTTAAGCTGTAGCACAGAAAATGGCACAAAGAAGCTGAGTTTCTGTTCATTACAGTCTCAGAAAACCAGGAACAATGATCTTTATACTAACAGAGTGTTGGCTATTGGAAATAAAAAGACACTATCAGAGCTTTTAAAGAGGGGACTAATAGAAAAAGTAGAAGATAAAGAAGATGATGAACAGCTAAAGCTAGGGAATTGAAATGACAAATTTTAAAGGAGAATTTTCAGATGACATCTGGAAACTTGACAGAACACAGTCAGTGTAACAAAGTAATAATGAAGCATATTACATGCAAATCACAGAGAAGTACTGGAAAGGCGGTGCTATTTACCTTTGCTAAAAAAAAAAGAAACACAAACTCACAGATAAATAAACTAACTCTATTAACAAATACCAGAGAATCCCAGTGGAATACAATTCTGACCTTAAAAAAGCTTCACTGACCACCTGACTAGAACTGTAACAATAAAAGTGACATGCTGACCAAGAACAGAAATGCTGCAAGGGCAGAAACCACAACAATAAAGGGAACTTCAGTCACTGTCTCTCCCAAGTATATTGAGAAAATGCTACGCTAATAGACGATGCTCAAATTAAAATTTCAGACTACCTAAGTGACTGAATAATAGACAAAATAGCAAACACGTGAGAAAACTTCTGGCTTTGTCCAGAGTAGTCTACAAGACCTAATTTAAAATGTTACCATCAAAGAACCACTCAATAACAATTTCCAGTATGTACCCAGATTCACCGTCTTGCAGGAGCAGACAGAGGTGAAGAATCCACTGTTGTACTTTCAAAAAGTGCTACTAAATAAAATCATGGGAAAATATTGTAGCAACATCACAAGAATCTGTGAAGCCAGAGCAATGGGACAGAACTGCACGGGAAATAAGATGCTCAGGATACCTCCAGATGAAGAATATGCCAAGAATAAAGTGTGGAAAAGGTAAATGTAAAACCACAAAAAAGAAGGCTCTGAATGTTTTTTAAGCAATATGCCAAGTGCGTAACAGCTAAGAAGAAATGATTTTAGAACATCACCACACAGTAAATCTACACAACATGTTTGTAAAGTTGGATGCTGGACAAAGTGCAAAAGCAATTTCAAGTAACATAAAGCAGAAAAATGATATGAATTGCCAGAGTCCAAATTCTCCGTGGCTGGACCACATGCACTTTATGAAGGACACAACAGAAAGTCTGCTTCAGACTGAAGAGGTTCCAGAACAACCAATAAATCCAATACTAACATAAATATCCAGCACCAGGTGGTACTCAGTCATGACTTCTAATGGAATTCAAACATGGAACTTCTGAACTATTTATTACAACATGCAACTTACTGCTTAACTCTCTCATGGTACAAGATTAGAAGGCAAAAGTTAGATCAGTACTAGAACTAGCTCCAGAGAAAATCAGGGAAGTACAGAGAGCATCAGTCTCCACTGCAGAGAGGTCACCAGTGAAGTCCCACAGGTGCTGGGATCTGACTGTCTTAAGATATGCAGAAGTTATCTAAAACAGCAGGTGAGTAATTATTATGAAGTGGTGAACTCTGCTAATGATACTACGTTAACGAGTGTAGTCTCAATAAACATTGTTGTACATAGAAAAAAAACCCCTAAATTTTACATACAAATGCTGAAGTCTGAATTCATCATTACCACTCAAGACACAAACCTTGATGTTATGACAGACAGACTTATGAAAATGTTAGCTCTTTCTGAAAATGTTAGATGTCTGTTCTTGTGTTCTTTAAAGTAAATTACTAGCACAATTAAATACTAGTCCTCATTATTTGGTATAGTTTAAATATAAATTTGATGAGAGACCTTCAGGTCATTATGATTCCCAATTGCTCATTATTATCCACTACTTTCACAAACATTAAAGTAATTTTTAATTTGTGAAAAGGTAATTATTTTTAAGTATATTAGCACAAATGTATGGCATCTAAAAAACCCTGGGTACTGTGAATTATAGACATCAAACCTACTCCTTAAACATGAACAGCACTTCCCAGTCTTAGCTACAGAGCACAATAAAATGAGCCCTAATTTTCTCTCACGCAGTTATTTCACTTCTCTTTACACACACAGGCATGCCCATGCCTTCCTTTTCAGCTTTCTGCAGTGTTACAATCTTGCAATTATTTCCAATTCTTACAAGTCTACATGAGTCTTTTTTGTGCTGAGAAGTTTATGTCATGAAGTCAATGTATACATATCCAGCTTTTCATCATGCTCTACAGATCGTGTACATTTTGGGCTGCTCATCTTTGTTATTTTTCCAATTAATGAAAAACAGAATTTAAAAGTTAATTCAACGTACTATATCAGATGTTTTTTCCCCAAAACAGCTTTGTGAAACACTGTGCATGTCGTTTACTAACAACATTATACACACTTCTGATTATACAAGTTTTACCTCGACACAGGTTTTCATCCCTGAGGCAGCAGCATAGTGCAAAGGTGTATTTTTTTTGTTATCGACAGCATCGATGGCTGCTCGTTCATACTGTCCTTCATCCAGCTTTGCTCCCTTCCACTTCAGGATCATTTGCAGACAATCTGCTCTTCTGCAGTCGTCTTCTGAGGGTCGTGTCAGGCGAGGATGAAGAGCTCCTTCTGAGATCATGATCTGAGGTCCCATACACAGCAGGTGCATAGATGTCTCATTGTGCACATTCCGTTTATTTGGGTTACCGTCTCTAACAAAAAGGAAAGTTCTGCAAGGGCAGAAAAAAACAGAGAAACAATTAGCACACTATTCCACACATTTCCTTGAAGTGGGAAGCATCTACTGTGACAGCTCTTTTCTTCCTGCCAAGAACAGTTCTCCATTTCTTTTAGGAGTCAAGATCTAGATGAATTACAGAAATATCATTAAGTACCAAATATAATTACTTTGCCAATGTGTGACAAAAATTTTGGTTGGCAAAGCTTCTTCTAGAGTTCTGTACTGTATTGCAACAGACGTTATCCAGTCACAAGACTGATGAAATAGCTACTTTCTTTTTTCTACTCTGTGTCCTGAATAGTAGTGCATTTGGTAGTTTGCAAATAAATAATGCCAGAGCAATCTCTTAAAAATTCATTCTTCTTTCCAGTATCTTTAGTCAGATGCCAATGCAGCACTTACCACTTCTTGCAAATACACTAAATACGTTTCCCGCTAACACTGCATGCCTTGGTGAAAGACTCTCTTTGCTTTCTCACTCTAGAATATATGGAAGTGCAACGTAATGCAAACCCTCACCCACGCAATGACAGAGTCTTCTCGTGAATGCTCTGGAGGCAGTTCCAAATGGACAATAAAGTACACTGGCAAAAAGGATCAGCTCAGGAATGAAAGAGAAAAAACAGCGTGATTCCTGGAACACAGCTCTGATTCCCGACAGCTCCTCAGACGACGAGCAGCTCTCTGCTGTTTCTTGCCAGAAAGGAATTACAAGAAGTCACAATCCAGTTCTGAAATGGCAGAACTGAGACACATCATAGAAGTCCTGTGAAACCAAACCTGCTTTAGCCTTTTGAGGTATACTAAAACAATATTTTATTTTATTAACAGAGAGTGAATGGTAGGAAATGGCAGAGAATAAAGATGACCTCTTTGTAAGACTGGCGTCAGAGACATCCATGGCGAAAGAACTCTGTGCAAGGGTAGAAAGGACAGTTCCCAGGGAGGCCGTACCAGTTCCCAGGGGGGCAATACCAGTTCCCAAGGAGGCAATACCAGTTCCCAAGGAAATATCAGGCTAAATCAGAAGCACAGTATGTACGTTCAAGAAGTCACTGCAGAAACACAGTATAAAACTGGCAGAAGTTACTGCTCATCTCATCTCCAGGCTGTTCCCTGACTCCAAAGAGTTTGTAAGTATGACAAAACCAGTTATTCTGGAATCTTCATTAGATCGATACAGGTGCCCAGATTTCACCAACCCTGCCCTCACCCCTAAGACTGATTAAAACCAGTTTCAATCGCTTTCAGTCTAAAACAGGCAGCTCAGCCACCTGAAGGCAGGCACTGCCTAAATAAAGAATCAGGCCATATGGCCCTTGGTGAACAGCAGAGAGCAGAACAACTTGGTAACCAAACTGACCAAAAAAAAAAGTTATTTACCTCCGTTCTTGCCTTATGCTATGGTTACAAGTCTAAATGTCACCCCCCCCCTTTCCATTGTCCTTGCAGACATCCCACCAGGAGCTACAGGGCATGCCTTTCTCTCTCTCAAGAGTTATCCCATGCTTTGTTCAGGACAAAGAGTAATCCTGAAACTATTTCATTGACAAAGGAAGATGCTATACAGGATGGGTGTGGAGCTTCCCTTTCGGAAATGACTGAGAAGAGGCTGGATAAATATTTCAGTAGAAGAAATTAGGCACAGCTGATCTGGTCCAGCAATGGAAGGATGTCTTGCTGGTAGCCAGATTTCTTTCCTGTCTTCCCTCTGAAAATCTCTGAATGGTTTGAGTTCAAACTAAGACTTATTACTAAAATAACCAGTAACAAAGTATTCAGGCGAAAAAATAAAAACAAACCAGTCTCCTCTATGTTGCCCTATTTTGGCAGAAAAAATGTTCCTTAGAGAAACCTCTCTTTCATCCTTCTGACATGACAGATGTATTTGTTAGGAGATATGAATATGCCAAATCTGAGATCAAAGCACATTTTGTTTGCTTGGAGGTTTGGTTTTTCGCTTGTTTGCTTTCAGAGAAAGGGGATTTATCAAGACAGGCAAAATGCTTCACAGCCAGTTATGTGACACGACTAACCAGGATGAAACACCTGTTTGAATTAGATTTAGGTAGTATGAACTAGAGATAGAAAGAAAGGAAGGGAAGGAAGGTGGGAAAGAACAGAGAGGCAGAAGGAGGGGCAGAAGGGGGGAAAGGGAAAGGGAAAGGGAAAGGGAAGGAAGGGGAAAGGGAAAGTAAAGGGGGAGGGGAAGGAAGGAAGAAAGATGACTCGCTGCAGGACGAGCAGATGAATTCTACAGAGGCACTTAGATATGAGGATGTTAGATATGAGGTCTTGCAGGTACCCACTGCAAAATCTGCATATAGAACTTACATGGCTAAATCTAAAACATCTTGGTCTCTGTGAGGTCTGACTTTGGAGCTTCATTAAAATCTGAGTTTCTTTATATAGGCAATAAATTTATTTTGTGGTACACTAGTGTCTTTTCTTCTGAACTCCTTTTCACAATTTCATTTACAATATTTTTACTTCAAGTAAAGATTATCCCCAACTTAGCCTTCAACGTATTTATAAACTGTAGCAGAAACAGGAAAATGTTCAGAGTCCTTAAGTAAGGAACAAATAAAGTGGTTTTAAAAAAAATTATTATTCACTTCTCCGTCAACCTATGGCATTTACTACCCATATGCCTCCTAATGTTCCATTGCTAAAATCTTGCACCTTCCTTAAGGAAAAAAAGAAGAGACAACAGCACTGGGAAGCAAAAGGCGGTGAACAGACCCTGTGAAAGACCTCATGCATGGCTTCTTTTTCAGTAGTTTTTACAACGAGGTAACCCTGCTGTTAGGTGAGTAGGCCTAGCTATTTCCACCCGACGTCTGTAACCCAATGTTTGTAACGGCAGGAGACACCCCCGACCTTCAGGTTCGCTGTGGCATGAGTAGAGGAGAACGGGTGATGAAGTAGCAGAGGCCTTCTGCAATCCCTGCAGCGGACTACGGTGCGGTGGCAAAGACACCCGTTCGTCCAAGGCAAAGCGTTACGAGGACGCACGCCCCACATCGGAACGTGGGCAGAGTCCTTCTGGTTTCCGTTAACAACATCTCTTCCTCCCACTTTGAGTGGCTTTATACTCAACGTACTGGTTCCTGCTACTTCTCTTGTTTGAAGTAAAACAAACCTCAGCGAAGAACTGTCTGTGGTTTATGTAAGACACTGAACCAGGGCTTGAGGTTCTTTAATTGCAAGATGACCTTCACTATCTCCTCCCAAACCTGATGATGCAGTTTCTCTAGTACCTTTAGCTATCTAATCATTACCTTCTAGGCTTGACAATATCATAACGCACATCTCCATTTTCAATATTTAGCTCTCTTATCATCAGCGGAATTCCATGCTGTGGTATTTTAAAGCATGTGATTCACTCATGAATCAGGTTACAGTGCATCTGACTTCAGAACAGCACAATGTTTTCCTGGCAACCCCTGAAAGTCACAAATCAGAAACTCTTTCTTACAAACCAGGTTTTTTACACACAAACAGAAGTATTAATAACCTTTGCTAACATAACAGCAAAGTTAACTGAATCGTATCAGAGACTATCCTGTCTATATTCATCTCCCTCCCTTTATTTTTTTAAAATCTTACTATATTTTTCCCAGCAACTCTGCCAAAATTCTCTTTAATTTGAGGATTTCATCCCTATTTGACCAATTACATGCTGTAACACTTACTTTGGCATTACTAAGTTTTATGTAGGTTTGTAGAAGAACTTTGTAGAAGACACCAATGCTGAATGGATATAAATGCTCTCCCACAGCTCAAGGCAGATATTTCACGTTATCAACAGCTCAGTGATGAGGTGGTTCTGCCCTAGGCTGAAACTCTGTGCTTTGAAGTAGAATTTGAAGGCTGTCAAATCACTACTCCTTTTTAAATGCAGAACTTCTCTCTAAAGGGTTAAACACTATTTTAAAAGGTAACTTCAGTAATAAATAATTTTCTGTATAATTTTTCCACCAATTTTTCTTGGGAAAAAAGCAATAAAATTCTTGGGTTGAGAAGTTATATATATCCTAATCTAAAATAAGAACTGCTTATGTTCTGCCTGCAGACTTCCGGTTCTCGAACAAGCAGAAATGCATTTTTCTGTACTAATCAAATGATGAAAAGCTCGAGGATGGATTTAAATCTGTCACTGAGCTGTTTTACTACTGCTTCATAGCACAAAAAATATCCCTACTTAGGGAAGTCTATCAGCAAGCCAGATTTTGAACTCCTGCAGCAAAAAGTATCAGCATATTTTTTTTTGAAGAGAGAAATCCAAAAAACCTCCCTAGAAGGCTATTCCCTTGCCTAAGCTCAACATTTGCTCTTCAGTCATAGGTATCTCTTAAAAAATATTCCAACTGTCTCTAAACACATAAAAAAAATCAGTAAGAACCACATGGAAATTTTCAAGAACAAATTTGTGGTATTTGTATAAAACACTGTTGGGCTTGGGAAAAAAATTGTTTTGATTAGTTGTTCTCCTTGCTTGTCATTCAACTTCTGCCTCATAAATGCGTGTAACAAATACCAGAGCTGCCAAAGGAAATCAGCCCCTCACTCTGGACACACAAATGGGCTTCAAGTGCCACAATATTCTCCCTTTCTCTCTCCTTAGCCTCTTCCAAACTCCAAGGATTAATTCGTCAGTGTAAGGGTAAGTCAAGCCTACGCTGAAAAACCCAGCTGAACCCATGACTTACAGTTCAGAGAAGATGACTCGCGTCCAAAAAGGGGTAAATTAACGTATTTTACCTCCGTAAAGTCATTATTTGACAGGGCTCCATTTTTACCAATGGTATTTGGTGCGGAAGACTTTCACAGAGCAGCGCTGTAAACCCCTGCTATTCAGCTCACGACTTCAGAGGTGTAAAAAGCTAAATCTTGCCTGGAAATGTACTGATAGAGTGAAAATATGGGAAATACCACTTAACCACAAGGCAGCCAGACTTCACGATATTTGCAGCTTCCACATTTTGC